TTTTTTTCCAATACAAAATAGGTCTGATTATTGATGCTTTTGGTGAATTAAGAGATCAGCAAGAACAAGTGAGAGAGGATATGGAGGTATGAATAAACATGTTACATTTTTTCCCTAATCCTATTAATCTAGATTGTTACTAGTAATAATATTTGCTTAGTGTTAAAACTGAATTTTAAACACCTGAATTTCATTTCCAGACCAAATGTTTTATTTGCGGAATCGGTAATGACTATTTTGACACAACCCCCCATGGCTTTGAAACACACACTTTGCAAGAGCACAACTTGGCAAACTACCTGTAAGTGTTTTGCACATTAATTGGGATTACAATAAGGCAACTTTCAGCTCTAGAGCAACTTGGAAGGGAGTTCACACTGCTGAACAATCCTAGAACAGGATGGACAGAGGATATCCCCTCTGGGAATAGGACAGAGGACATCCCCTCCTTCCTGATGTCCTCTCCACTCCCCTCTGTTCGTTGTCATCACGGTGCTTGCGCCACACGGGAGCTGCCTGGGCAGGGTGGCACCTGAGGGCCCTGCGCTGCCTCAGTCCTGCTCGGGAAGGAAAATCCAGATACGTGGAAGGGCATTGAGCAGCCATCTGCAAACCCTTTTAGTTTGGAAAAGGATTGCGAGGTGGGGCTTGGTATATTAAGATGCCGCAATCTTAATTTCATCATTAAGATGTCTTAAGGGCTACAAGATACTCTAGTTGGTAACAATGAAGCCACTGAAACTTGTGGCTCATTTTAAATTTTTATATATAAACATATATATGTATATCTTTTTAATTTAGAAGCAAGGTCATTACTTTGCTGTTTGGCATAATTTTCTTTATATGCCCCATTCTAGGAAAGAAGCAGAGATGTTATGTTTTCTATATTAATATATTTGCTTCATGTGCTTCTTTCAGGTTCTTTTTAATGTATCTCATTAATAAGGATGAAACTGAGCATACTGGCCAGGTAGGTAGAAGGTCATCTTTAATTAAAAATTTAAATTACTTTATTACTTTTAATCTTCCCCAGCTTTGTACCTATGTACTAACAGATGGGATTGATATGTACCACCAAGGGGTGGAGACAAATACCACCCTTCCTGAGATGTTCTGGGCATAAAAGTGAGGGTAAATACTATCCATATTAAATATTATCTGTATCCAGAAAATGGACAGTTGCCAGCTATCTGCCTGTCACCTTATATCTGAAATGAAACCCTGAAACATAGCAGCTAAAGTTAATATAGGAGGGAATAAACTATTTATAGCATACATCTGTGCGTGAGCAGGTGAGTGTTTAACATAATTAAGCCCTAAACATTAATAAAGTAGCCTAAACTTTAAAATGATTTTGAGTAAATAAAACACATTTTATATATACAGACTATAGAGGTTTGTTTTCATATAATAATTACTAATTTACACATAAGAGTTTTCTGCCTAGGGCTTACCTTTCAAGAGTACTGCATCAAATGTTCTTACCTCCAACAAATAATTTTTTACAAGCATTCTTGAATTGTGAAATGGAAGTTTCAGTGTTCTCACAATTATGCTTTTACTTGCACAGTACTAGTTAGTTTTCATTAAAAGCTTATCTATAGTAACATAACTATACCTTATCCTTTGCAGGAGTCATTTGTGTGGAAGATGTACCAAGAAAGGTGTTGGGATTTCTTCCCTGCAGGAGACTGCTTTCGGAAACAGTATGAGGATCAACTTGGCTAACGTTACCGCATAAGAGACGACTCTATTCATGAACTGTTAAAATCCTGTAAACGAAAAACCTCTTACCTTTTCTTCTTAGGGTATAAATTCAGAACTCATACTTGGTCTAAGTGTCTTTAAACTTCAAGACATGCAGACAATTTGAAACCAAGTCATGGGCTTTCTTTTTTTTTACCTACCGTGTATGAAACAAGTCTTCTGGTTACAAGTGCAGTTTGAAATCTATGCCAAAATTAACTTAAGCCTTCCCATCCAACAGGGCCTGATTAAAAACTCTTAATCGCACCGTTAACCCAGTGTTTGGTAGTACAGCTGAAAGGGCTACAAGACATCTTAATTGCACAACATTTGAAATTTAAGAACTTGAACATCAGAGGCCTTGCCTCAAAAGTGTTTTAACTGCAGTACAGTTTGGCCCCACAGTGTTTGCTAGTGAATGTACTATGATACAGCTTAATACAGCTTTAAGCAGTTAAAAATAAAACGTTTTCAAACACTTTGTTGACCATGAAACATCAATTAAGTGCCTTAAAACCTCTGTAGACATAGCTATGCAAACTTTTTATTTATGTTAGTGTACTAGATGGACAGATCTATTAACTGTGTTGCTCTTCTGTCTTTCTGTAACAAACTGCACCTCAAGTTCATTTATATACACCACCTTCAATAACAGCTTATTAGATGCTGCTGTTAAAAGAAATAGTGTATCAAAATGAATAAAATCTAAATGTTAGGCCAAAATAAAACAATGCTTCATGGTCATCTGTATGTAAAAGCGATTAACTTTATGCTTTTTTTTTTTTTGTCTTCTTCTAATGAAAAGTGCCCACTGCAATAAAGTATAAGCCAAATAATACCTCTGCTGTCTCCTCTTTTTAGTTTTTTTCCTGCAGTGGAAATACAGGAATGGAATGGTGATTGAAAAGACATGTATTTTATGTTCACAGTTTTATTTTTTTTAGGGACTGCATACAGGAAGTACAGGCAGAAGCAATTTCTGTGATTTGTATGCTGTGGCATGCATCTTTAGTCTCATCACAACATTTGTTTGTTTTAAATAAGTAGTGTTTACCAGGAATATTAACCTGAGAGAATTTCAATCAAATCAAGCAAATTCAGGGTGAACATTTTTTGAAGGCCATCAAATAAAATTAGACATTGGGCATCCTGAACCAAGAAAAATAAAGAAAAAGGAGATAAAGAAATTCACTCTATTGCATAAACTACTTAACTTTTGTTATATTCATTATTCACATAAGAGAATTTGGGCTTCAGGAAATCATGCTGTCCAGCCAATCTTCAAGCTCTTCCTCAGTGACATTTTTAGATGTACTTTGCTGTTGCTGCAATGCTGAACTATTCTCTTCAGGGACATCCACTTTTTGAGGTTCTAGAAGAGTAAACACAAAATACAAAAATCTGGAAATAATTCCTTACCAGGGTTTTGTTCCCAATCATTTGCACAACTTAGTAACATTCCAGAAACAATGTAAAATAAGAGGCAGGGGAAGACATTAAAGATTCATGGAGGGATAGGGGAGGAAAGGCACTCCTCTCCATCAGAATTAACAATATAAAATATATATGATGTTGTTTCTCTTACTGCTGAAAATGGACACGCTGACAATGGTGAAACTCAGCACATCAGTGAAGAACTTTTCTTGATGCTACTTACTGTGATTGGGAAGAATATAACATTGGAAAGGAGATATTTAACATTTGGGATAGTAGTGGAAACAATTTTAGCAATGGTATACTTTCTACAGAATACGCAGTATTTCAGTATTCAATATGCTAGGAGTATTCCAGGATAACCACAATATTCTGTATTTAGTTTGTATTGACTAGTGTGGAAAGTGTCCTGTCAGCAACAGTTCCCAGAGCATGTTTCAAATCTGGCTTCAAAAATAATGAAAAAAGCAAGAGTATTCAGAAACTAGTAAGATGTCCTACAACTTACTTCTCTTCAACAAGTGACTAGTTTTGCTGTAAGTCAATTAGTTAATTAATAAGTTTCTAATATCTACTGACCTGGAACTATGGTTTCAGGGAGTCTGGAAGGAATTAAGGGCTACCTACTGCAATGAGGGGTTTATGGGATCTCTACGAAGACGACCAGGATTTCTGGAGGTAATCACAAGTCCTTCATCTTAAAAGAGAGATTTTTTTTTTGTCATCCAATTAAGCATCTGCCATTCTTGAAATACGGATCAAGGATTTCAATAAGAGAAACAAAAATTGGGCAAATTTTTTGATCTTGAAAATTAATCACAGCAATTTTTAATGCATCTTGTAAAGTACTGAACAGATTAAGATTCAGAAATACCTAACAATCAAGGCGTTTATTTGGATATCCAGATTTTTGCCTGCTGCAATTAAAGATGTCAATCGTAGCTTTACTTTTGTTGTTGATACATGTTCATCCTTTGATGATGATATGGAAAACCTCATTGTTTTATTCATTTATCCCACTAACCATGTAATCTTAAAGGCGTAATGCTTGAATGGTAGCAGATGTGCACATTCTGTTATGCCACATTTTATCAAATGTGTTTAGAATTAAAAAAAAAAAAAAAAAAAAGCCAGGATATGAGATAGTGGCCAAATAGTGAAAAGACCACATTCCAACAAGCTGTAGAAGCTATGACAAAGAAGCATTTTCACTCACCACATTTTAAAAGCCTTGGATTTAGTTTGCTTGTACCAAAAAGAGTTTCAAGGTATGTTCTTTTCATAAGCAACAGCTTACAAACACCAGCATGCTGGACAGGAGGGCTACATACCTGAAGTTGTCTTAGGCAGAGTTAAAACTGGATAGGAAGGGATGGGTCAGAGCATGATCCCAGGCCAGTGCAATGCACAGAGAGAGATGAGGATGGTGACAGCAGTACTGCCGACTTGCTAGTCATGACCTTGAAAACGTCACCAAGAAGACAACCATGGCTGTGTGTCTATAGGGGGAGGAAAATCTTACCTTTTTCCTTATAATCCGTTTCCTGATCTTTCTCAGTTACGTTGCTGTCTACAGCACTTGACACACTTCTGTCTTGCACAGTCATGGGAGCATCCAGGTTGAGGAGCCGATCCAGCTCCTCCTCCAGGTGGTCGGTCTCCTGCTCCGGCAGCGGGCGGCCCCGCTGAGGCAGCCCTGCTGCCCGAGCACCTTTACTGGTAGGTTCTGACGGGGCGGCAGGATCGTGGCCACAGTGGGACACGGACACAGCTTTGCTTGGGGCCAAAGACTGTTGAAACAGAGTCTCTCTTCTCTTGCTGGCTTCAACGTTCCTAAATTTCATGGGCGGGAGTTCGACAGGGGCCGATGCCTAGGAGTGCAGGGAGGGACGTTAGGCCTCGTAACAGTGAGCTCCGCTTTCACTGCTCTCTCTAACCGGCCAGTAACTCATCAAACTGGTGTCGTCAGTGAAGAAGCTAGAGTTAAACTCATCAGAGCTCAATTCAGAAACAAAGCATAGTAAAGATAACCTGGTGGTAGCTGAGCACCTACGAGCTATAAATTCCTTGTATCCCTTAAAATGAAATACAAGATCATATGCTAAAGGGAATTCCATCATTCCACAAATAATTCCTGCACCGTTCCTTCTCTTATTCATCCATACTTTACCCAGCCAGTACTTTGAATTTTGGAGTGACTGAAGATAAAAGCTGGCTAGAAACATCCCATTTTACACCTTCCTTCCAAAATGCACCTTGAAAGTAAACCATACTACAGCTTGCTGAGACTGATTGGACAAAAGCTGTGTTATCTCACTAAATACCCTGAAAAATGAAACCAGAATGTAAAACACTAGCAAATGCCACAACAAGAAATGTCAGTGTATGATTTAACACTAAGGCCCTGCTTTTATCAAGATGCCCTGGGGTTAATAACACTCCTGTACTGCCTTACACACTGATTATCACAGATGTGTTACAACAGCAAGACAAAGATTAAATGTTATAACCCACACCATATAACCATGTTTACCTATATATCTATATTTGAAGGACCTAATTACAATTTTTTTCCCCAGGGTGGGGGGGGGAGCATATATTTGAAAAGATAATGTATGTTTGCAGATTCCCTTATAATCTGTATCTGCTATAGAAGATAGTTGTCACCGACAACACTTCAAACTTCAAGCACTCCAAAACCAGAAGCAGTCTTTCATCTGAGTGTCATGTGCTTTTTTCCTTACTTTCCACTGTCTTTAAACTAGTCTTTTTTTGTTTGTTTGTTTACATTAACATTTGCTTTCTCACAGCCTGAAGATAATTCAGGCACTTCTGCTAATACTGTGTTTGATTTTCTATAACCAGACATTAAATAACACTTTATCTGCTTCACTGACAATTCATGTTCTAACACAGCCCTAAATTTGCTTCATGGAATAACCATATATGTTGATATTACTATACAAAATAATAAATTCCCATTAAAATAATTAACTAACTGGAAATACTTGGCAAGCAAGGAAATGCAAGTATATAACAGTTTTAAAAGAGAATCAAATCAAATCAAATCAAAAACAGGCAGTATTCCATGTCAAACACCCGGTTTCAAACCCAGCCCACTGCACACAGTTGCATTTCATTTAAAGCCATCAACGAAAACGGAGGAAGTGCTGATACACATACGGTATCTGGATACAAACACCCGCTGACTCGTCAGTCTCAGGAAATACACATAAAATTAAAAGCAAGTTGCATTCAAACACCAAGTGATAGCTCTAACATAGACTTTACATTTACAGTGTTTCCATTATATTGGGAGAATGAACAACATTACCTCCACAAGCTCAGCAGCCACATTCAACCTTAGATGTAGAGGCAACTCCTGAAGGGCCTGGACCAAAGTCTGACAGTCGACATTAAGGACAGATAACTGAAATATAATTCAACACACAGTAAGCTTTCATTAAAATCAATCAATCAATCCATCTCATTCCCATGTGCCACATTCCCATGTTTTTCTTCATTTGGGGGAGTAGGGACAGAAGAAGACCCCAGAACCTCCATCATTACAGACAACTTAATAAAAATAAATAGCCACAGAATAAGCAGGGCTACTGCATTAAAACACTTGCTGCTGAAAGAACAGCCACCTCCGTGTAGCCCCTGCCAGGCTATCAAACTGTACCAGAGACATCCTCTGCCTTTCAAGCCCTTCTACCTAGGATGTGGAGTTTGCTTAACACAGAAAATTATCTGTTCTCTATTAATATGGAAATGCAGAGGATTCAGGGTAATTTTCCACACAAACTCATTGGAAGGGGAGTTTTCCTGTTACCTGCTTATGGCTTATGCTTTCCATATCCCATTCCTTCTCTTCAGCAAATCGAAATTGTGCGAAGGAGTCTCCTGCAGAAAAGAAGTAACTTGTTTTTATAGATAAACAAAGTAGCTCCCCTCAAATTCCCAACCCTAAATAAATAAATTGAGTCAATAAATCCTGCAGTTTAAAACAGTTTGTTACAAGGTCAATAAAGATTTTTTTGTCTGACAAATAAAGCCTCCAGACCTTTCCTTCCTTGCACTCGTCCTTACTCCAGCCTACAGTCAATAAAATGGCATTGAAGCCACTGAAAACCAAATTCAATTCACATGTGTAGGTGATTGAATTAAAAGTACCCTTAACTAGAGTAATTAAGCTACATATGTACCTGCAGCTATTTGCTAACTTCCCTATCACATTTCTGCAAGACACTCACTGATCGTAACACAGGAGGTGTTGCATTATTATTTTCTTTTAGATGTGATATTTCTTTTGCAGCACCACACCGGGTTCCAAAAGAAAAAGTCCTCAAAGTCCTTTTACTGCAAAACCACACAAAACATTCCAGGAACTCAAAAAAACAAAAAAATCCATCAGCTCTGTACACAGGACAGAAGAGGGCACAGGCCAGGCAATAAGAGAGGGCTCAAATGCGTAAGTATATAAAATTGGAAGCACCATGAAAACCGCTTAAAGCCGCATTTACAGTATTTGAACCACGTTATATCACAGAGAATAGCCAAAAAAATACAAGGTTTTGAAAGGAGCATCTCGAATCCACCGTGTTTCGCACGTGCTGCCTGGCTAAGCAGCCCCTGCCAGCGCCAGCAGCACCAGCGCTGGCACGTCCGTCCCCAGCAGGAACGCCACCTTCCCGGCTAGGCCTTCATACAGATCCTGACAACCTGACCGAGTTCAGCTCCACCTGGTCCCTGCTTCACGACTTTTCGTTCCAGTCCCGCTCAGCGCTCCCCAGCTCACACACGCCCTTGCCTCGGGCAGCTGGGCCTTGGTTTACGCTCGGTGTTTCCAGGCATCACCGCTTCAAAGCCGCCAGTGTCAAACCGCACATTTGTGAATATTTAAAACTAAGCACTAAATTTACTTTTAGACACATAAGCAAGCCTGTGCTTACACCTCACTTTAGTTGATGCCTCTCACGCGAGGCTCTGGGACGCTGGGCTCTGATCCCTTATTTCCGTGCCCACCTGCAGGGGCCGATACTGCCCTGGAGCGCCCGGGGGGACTCACTCCCGATGGAAGCGCTTCACATGGCGCAGGGATTAAATAAACCCCTCCGCTTCAGAACATCTAGAACACTGCCCATAAATAACAACCAACGCGGAAAATTACGGAAATCCAAATCAACTCTTCAATCTCATCATTTTAAAATGGGTACCAAAACATGCAGATTAATTCATGTTTTAACAGCTCATCTTTTTATGGTTGAATTTAGTTATACATGTAAAGACAAAGTTTTATTGAACAACAGTTAGACCAAGTGATTCTCAGAACCTTTACACTATTAGAGCAAACGTTTTCTTCAAAAATGCCCCAAAGACCTTCACTTATTGCACCCACTGTGAGTGAAGAGTTTTCACTGCTCTTAGAGAGGAGCAACTGTAAAACGAGACCAAAGGCTCAGTGGGATCCTCTGGGCGTCTGGGGATGACTGGATGTAAAGCAGCTAAACACAGGAAAATCCATGGGGATCAAGAACTGGTTTGTGATTCTCCGCACCCGCAAAGGTAGCGAATAACAGAGCCAGTTTTATACTGCGGAATTAAAGGGCAAGACTTAAGCTCTAGTTTAACTCAGGTCTTTAAATAAGCTAACAAAGCACAGCTTTCAAATGCAAAAGCAATAGCTGCAATTCACAAAAGCACATTTAATGCAAATTAGGTTAATGAGAACACTGGTCTAAGCAATTATCTTTTCACAAAGTCCTTTAGCCTGAAAATAACTTCCTTTTACGCCATGAATACTAATCAAAACTCTTGCAATGACTCTGACTTCCTTCCAACACAAAAACTTTTTTTTTTTTCCTCATTTGAATAGGTTTTATGTTCCTCACAAATATTTCTTGACCTTCAAAAAATACGGAGTAGCTAGAAGGGATGCATTAAAGTAAATATTGCACACTATCTTTGATAACTTTTACAATAAGCCTTAATAAACATTACAGTATAAAATGTAGCTTTATTAGGAAAGCACAGCAGGTCTAAAACACCAGTTTTCCTATCACTTGAATATATTTTCAAATTAAATCAATTGATTTGAGTAGGGTGCATGTTTCATAGCCTCGACACCACCAGTATCTCTTTATGCAAACATTCATTACATGGCAAAACCCAACAAATTATATCTCTAACTCCTAATAAAACATTCTTCAAAACATGAATTTATATGAGTATCAAAGTTTCAATAGGAGTAAGAAAACTGACACACTAGTGGAATGATTTTGACCAGTTCAATACACTCATTTATGAAAAATAGATAAAAGAAAACATTGGTAAAGACAAGGTATTCTGCACTCTTAGAGCTCCACAGGTTTTCAAAACCAGGGGCAGAGGAGGCCGAGCAAGAGGCCGCCTCCAAGACTACCAGGACTTGAGCACAGAAAAGGCAATAGGGAAGAGTCAAAACACAATTTTTAACCTGAGTTTGCCTTCCCCAGAATAGGTACTGGTTATTTTATTTTTAAGGTTCAATAAGTCACATGGGCCAACGTAGCCCTGTTCTGCAGGGAGAAGCTGCCTGAATCCCGGGGTTCAGTCACGGCCGATACTTGACGCCTGGTGGAACTGCAGTGGATCAGACAGGAATCCCAGCAATTCTCTGGAGGAGCCAGGGGCAGATAAGCGACATTTTCCTTTCCTTTTGATAGTGGTTTCACTCAAACACACTGGTCTGGTGTGACTACTCATAAATACCTCCAACATTCGCTTTTTTACTGAATAAATAATAAAAATGATATCTGAGTGTGAAGTTACTGACTTTCCCATAGGTTAAGCTTAAATCTTTCATTAAATTTAAGCTAATCACCTTAAATATTTACATTTTCCTAATGCTTTGTGACATTTTCTAGTGTCATTTTTTCTCAGGTTACTAATCCAAGAAGAAGGCTGAAGGAAGGCAAAGATCTATGAATAACTTAATCCAAAACCACTCAAGAACAAACACTCTAGGCATACAAGAAAGTGAAATTTGGCGTTCTCCCTAGGGAGACAACTCTTCTTTGGATGAAAGGGAGAGGTCTTGTTTTCACATGCCCAACACATTAAAAAAAGAAGCTCACAAGCTTTTGATCCCTGTAGACCATGGCTTTAGGAACCAGCTGGTCTGGCCCTGGAAGGAACGGCCACGTGGTGCCCTTCCCAAGCGGAGAGGCGCAAGAGGGCATCGCTCCGCGGCGCCGGCGCCCGCACGGGGCTCTGCCCGCTCACTCGCTGCTGCCTTTCGGCTCTCCCAGCTCCGCTATGGACCTGAAAGCTTCACTATTTAAATACTTAATGTGACACTAGCTACGAGATGACAGACCAATGTTTTCTGCTCATAGGCTTTCAGAATGAGTACGTCTTGTTTGGTCTGGAAAGTTCAAAATTCAAAACTCTTTAAGTAATTTTCTTACCATTTCTGAAGTTTAACTTTCTTCAAAGACATTATTTCTTTACATCGACCAACATTCCTTTAATCATACATAATTACTCATGTAGGCTGAAGTATGCATATTTAAATATGCAGTTCAATTCTTTGAGCTTAAGATTATTGTCAATAATTAGTTTCATAATACAACAGTGTAAATATATAGAAGAATCAATCCTCCTTTATTCGCTATTGTAATTCTTCAAAAAAAAAAATCTTTACTTTCAAAAAAAAAAAAGATAGTCACCTTAGAGCAAAGCAAATGAGTAAATTTAAATAATACTTCAAGTGCAATTTTTATTCCAACAATATTTGTTAACTTGACACAAAACAGTTTGTTATCTATAGTTCCTAAATGCCACACTGATGAAAGCACCAGGAAAACTCCTCTTTCTCTCCAACTTCCCTCCTTTCAAGTCAGGAAAGTTTAAAACAGTTTGAGAATTGAGTTTTCAAGCCTTAACTTTAAGTGCTTAAAGCCAGCCTTAATTTTTGCTGATGATACACACTCATCCTTTGGCAGTCCTTTTATTATAATATCACAACCCAATAAAACTATTCTGAATTTTTCTTAGTGGTACAGTGGTACATTTTTTTCTACTCTGCACTTGTCAGAATATTTGTTGCGAAGTATATAATATCATTAATAAATATAATTTATGTTGTTGTCTTGGATATTTTTAGTAACAATAACATCTGAACTAGTATCTTTCTTCTTAATGCCGAATTCACTATTCACACAAGTGATGCAGTGCTACAGTGTTTACAGCATAACCTCTCAAAACCATTTATGAATTACAAACAAAGGTGCAATCCTAAAAACATCCAAGCTGCTTGATATATTGACCACAACACTTGGCTTGCTTTCCCCTCTGCAATGTGTTTATGAAGGGTTCTGCAAGATACAAGAAATCATACCAATGACACAAGCTTACAAGATTATTTTTAAAATCCAGTGAAACAAGAATTGCAGCTTCAGAAAACAAGACAGGGAAGTATTTTCATTGGATACGTTAATAAAATTATAAAGATTAAAACTAGCAAAACGTAAATCTAGCAAAGCTCCCCTTGATTTCAAGGATGTGAAGTTTGTGAAGTGTTTCTTCACACTCGGAAGGCACTTCTGGAACCCCGCTCTAACTTGAGTTACTGTGTTTATTATTGGAGGTCTTCAAATTCTGAAACCATTCTATGAAATGGAATGACCCAACTGATCAAGACTGACCACCATGTAGCCTTACAGGAAAATGCAGCTGAGCAAAGAAAGACCAACCAATGAGGTGAATTTGGTCTTCAAAGTCTTCAAAATCCCTTATATTCAAACAAAAAATTAGTAGCAAGACAAAACTCCAAATCACTTCAAAATATGGTAACTGGTAACATGACAGAGGCATGTACTTGAGTATCTGTCAACTACAGAGCAAATAAACATTGCTCTGTA